TAAAACATTCATTACTAACCATTGTTCATACGTTTGGCACGAAAAAATTGGCAAACTGCAATCGTGCAAAAGATAAATTCTATCCTCTCTCCAAATCTGTTGCAAGATCCATATAGGCTGTGAATTCAAGTTCTTTACCTCTACAAAAGATAGAGTGTTTCACTAATAATCATACATATAAAAATCCGTTATAAAAAACTAACAAAATAAACAAAATTCACAAAACTTACTTCATATCACGAATTGTGACCCTTTTCCTATATCCCACTCTGCCAAAAACCTCCTCATAAGGATCATTTAACAAATACTCGATTGGTTCAACGTTCATGACCACTCTAATCAAATCTACAAAATAACATAAAGTAAAAAATAAATTCGTAAATATCTCTTGGCGATGTAACAATTTGTGAAATTATATTCTAAAAGTGATTTTGTAACGGGAAAACAAACTCTATAAATTTGTTATAGTTTTAAAAAAAATCTATATAATAATTCGATAAATGCTCCATATATTCTAGATCCTATAATAATTTAGTTCAAAATCTTCTACCATTTATTGAATTCCGGAAATACCTAGGATTTGAACAACTATCATGCAAATCTTGAAAAACAAATGTAAAGATTTTATATAACTAACCGATAACGATTTTGTCATGCAAATTTCCTTCAAGTATTGATTCGAAAGAAGAAAAATTAAACATATGCGCATCGGTTCTTGGAGAACAATCGGTGATCGTTGTATGCTCCAGAATATTGATCTTGAAAGGATTGTTAATGATTTTAAGATATCGTCTATCGACAACTACTTTAAAACATTCCAAGCTTTTCCAAGAACCCTCTTCAATGGTGTTGAAGAGATGTTCCACTTAATTACCCTCTTCAACAATTTCAATTTTTCCTCCCTTAAACATAACTTGCATATTAGTAAAATCTCAAAAAAAAAGTTTTCGTATAATTGATTTAAAAGAAAAAAAGAAAGATATTTTACCGATTGATCACCAAGGATCATGTGGAATTGTTTTTGATCATGATAATTTGTAGTTAACCACTTTCGAAGAACCTTGGCACGAATGATGTAGTTAAAAGAAACATTGAGATCGACATCGTAAATGGAAGTGTAGAACACCATCATCAATTAAGAATTTGGATTTGTGTTCTTTAAAACGAAGATAATATAGAGGAAATGGCGTAATTGTGTAGATCTTTTATAGAAATTTTCGGTACGTGAATATATTGGTACCATTTATTCGTTTAGGTTATAGTCATATCATGACATACACTACAAGAAAACAAGCAGTATTCCGACGGAATTTCCGACGGCCGAAAATTCCGTCGGAATATTCCGACGGTATTCTGACGGAATTCCGAGCAAAATGAATCCGTCGAAAATCCGTCGGAATTTTGTGACGGATTTCCGACGGACACGGAAACCGTCGGTATTCCGTCGGAAATCTATCGTCTTGTCCCGACAGATTTCCGACGAAAATAAACTGTCGTAATTTTCCGACGACTTTCCGACGGAATCACGATGGAAATCCGACTTTTCCGATGTCGGCAAAGTTTGATTGGTCAGCTCATACCGACGGAACTAATTCCGTCGGAATTCCGTCGAAAATTCGATGTTGGCAAATTTGAGTGGTTACCATTTCGTTAGCGGTGGCCGATGGGATTGGTGGGGTGTTATGTCGGAGGTTTGTGACGGATTTCCGACGGAAATCCGTTCTATATAAGTTCATACATTTCTTCGTTCCTTCATAACACAATTTTAAAAAGCGAAAAAATTTGTTAGCGATGAGTTCATTTTTCGGTCTTGGATGGACGAGCCAATGATGGATATGGGCTCGAACTTATTAACATCCGCATACGCTG